CTTTTAATTTCTTTCTTTGCTTTTTTTAGATGTCGTCTTTTTCCTTCTTTCTCCTTTCATTACGTCCACTTTTAATTTCTTTCTTTTGCTCCTTTAGATGTCGTCTTTTCCTTCTTTTCTCCCTTTCATTACGTCCACTTTTAATTTCTTTTTCTTTGCTCCTTTAGATGTCGTCTTTTCCTTCTTTTCCTTTCATTACGTCCACTTTTAATTTCTTTCTTTGCTCCTTTAGATTTCTTTTTTCTTTCTCCTTTCATTACGTCCACTTTTAATTTCTTTCTTTGCTCCTTTAGATGTCGTCTTTTCCTTCTTTCTCCTTTCATTACGTCCACTTTTAATTTCATTCTTTGCTCCTTTAGATGTCGTCTTTTCCTTCTTTCTCCCTTTCATTACGTCCACTTTTAATTTCTTTCTTTGCTCCTTTAGATGTCGTCTTTTCCTTCTTTCTCCCTTTCATTACGTCCACTTTTAATTTCTTTCTTTGCTCCTTTAGATGTCGTCTTTTCCTTCTTTCTCCCTTTCATTACGTCCACTTTTAATTTCATTTTTTGCTCCTTTAGATGTCGTCTTTTCCTTCTTTTTCTCCTTTCATTACGTCCACTTTTAATTTCTTTCTTTTCCTTTAGATGTCGTCTTTTCCTTCTTTCTCCCTTTCATTACGTCCACTTTTTAATTTCTTTCTTTGCTCCTTTAGATGTCGTCTCTTTCCTTCTTTCTCCCTTTCATTACGTCCACTTTTAATTTTTTCTTTTCCTTTAGATGTCGTCTTTTCCTTCTTTCTCCCTTTCATTACGTCCACTTTTAATTTTTCTTTTGCTCTCCTTTAGATGTCGTCTTTTTCCTTAATTTTCTCTCCTTTCATTACGTCCACTTTTAATTTCATTCTTTGCTCCTTTAGATGTCGTCTTTTCCTTCTTTCTCCCTTTCATTACGTCCAATTTCTTTCTTTTTAATTTCTTTCTTTTCTTTAGATCTTTCGTCTTTTTCCTTTTCTTTTTCCCTTTCATTACGTCCACTTTTAATTTCATTCTTTGCTCCTTTAGATGTCGTCTTTTCCTTCTTTCTCCCTTTCATTACGTTCACTTTAAATTTCTTTCTTTTGCTCCTTTAGATGTCGTCTTTTCCTTCTTTCTCCCTTTCATTACGTCCACTTTTAATTTCATTCTTTGCTCCTTTAGATGTCGTCTTTTCCTTCTTTCTCCCTTTCATTACGTCCACTTTTCTTTTATTCTTTTAATTTCATTCTTTTGCTTTTAATTTTCCTTTTTTAGATGTCGTCTTTTCCTTCTTTCTCCCTTTCATTACGTCCACTTTTAATTTCTTTCTTTGCTCCTTTAGATGTTAGTCTTTTCCTTCTTTTTCTTTCCTTTCATTACGTCCACTTTTAATTTCTTTCTTTGCTCCTTTAGATGTCGTCTTTTCCTTCTTTCTCCTTTCATTACGTCCACTTTTAATTTCTTTCTTTGCTCCTTTAGATGTCGTCTTTTCCTTCTTTCTCCTTTCATTACGTCCACTTTTAATTTCTTTCTTTGCTCCTTTAGATGTCGTCTTTTCCTTCTTTCTCCTTTTCATTACGTTCACTTTTAATTTTTTTGCTCCTTTAGATGTCGTCTTTTCCTTCTTTCTCCTTTCATTACGTCCATATTTTTAATTTCATTCTTTGCTCCTTTAGATGTCGTTTTTTCCTTCTTTTCTCCCTTTCATTACGTCCACTTTTAATTTCTTTCTTTGCTCCTTTAGATGTCGTCTTTCCTTCTTTTCCCTTTCATTACGTCCACTTTTAATTTCTTTCTTTTGCTCCTTTAGATGTCGTCTTTTCCTTCTTTCTCCCTTTCATTACGTCCACTTTTTAATTTCTTTCTTTTCCTTTAGATGTCGTCTTTCCTTCTTTTCCCTTTCATTACGTCCACTTTTAATTTCATTCTTTGCTCCTTTAGATGTCGTCTTTTCCTTCTTTTCTCCCTTTCATTACGTCCACTTTTAATTTCATTCTTTGCTCCTTTAGATGTCGTCTTTTCCTTCTTTCTCCCTTTCATTACGTCCACTTTTAATTTCTTTCTTTGCTCCTTTAGATGTCGTCTTTTCCTTCTTTCTCCCTTTCATTACGTCCACTTTTAATTTCTTTCTTTTGCTCCTTTAGATGTCGTCTTTCCTTCTTTCTCCCTTTCATTACGTCCACTTTTAATTTCTTTCTTTGCTCCTTTAGATGTCGTCTTTCCTTCTTTCTCCTTTCATTACGTCCACTTTTAATTTCTTTCTTTGCTCCTTTAGATGTCGTCTTTTCCTTCTTTCTCCCTTTCATTACGTCCACTTTAATTTCTTTCTTTGCTCCTTTAGATGTCGTCTTTTCCTTCTTTCTCCCTTTCATTACGTCCACTTTTAATTTCTTTCTTTGCTCCTTTAGATGTCGTCTTTTCCTTCTTTCTCCCTTTCATTACGTCCACTTTTAATTTATTTCTTTGCTCCTTTAGATGTCGTCTTTTCCTTCTTTCTCCCTTTCATTACGTCCACTTTTAATTTCTTTCTTTGCTCCTTTAGATGTAGTCTTTTCCTTCTTTCTCCCTTTCATTACGTCCACTTTTAATTTCATTCTTTGCTCCTTTAGATGTCGTCTTTTCCTTCTTTCTCCCTTTCATTACGTCCACTTTTAATTTCATTCTTTTTACACAGTCCCTTTCCGTTCTACAAATGTTGTTCTTAAATCACTTAAGACCGCCTCAGAAATAAAACACATAGATTACAAATCTCATTATTTACTCTGTGATGTTTGTTATATTTCGTTTAACAAAACAATGTTTTAAACTGACCTATGATCGTACAAGAAGATATTTTTACAAAATATACAGTCAATTTCAATTTATTCTTTATCGTCTGGACATTCGTGTCACAGTTGTCACGAGGTAAAAAGACTTTGAGCTTATATTTCTAACTAGCAGTAGAGCCCGGCGTTGCCCGGGGATGTAACAGTAAGAGATAGATCAAGTAACCAACATCATAAAGACTGAAAAATAAAATTGACAAAGAAGGTTGACGGACATGCATGTCTTAATTAGTTTTTTTTTTTTACTAATTGGTCAAACTCAAACAAAAACATTGTTTTCAATCCTTATGAGTATACCGATTGAATAGAATTTTATTATAAACAATTGTCTTGTAAATGGAATTTTTAAAGCATTCTGAATTTAAAAATAAAGAAAAAGTGTGCAAGACAATAAGATACACTATCTGCCAAAAAAACAAAACAAAATAAACTGAAGTTTAGTTGAAATCGGTTGAAAAATGTAGGAAATCCGATCCCATATATAAACGAACACACACACACACACACACACACACACACACACACACACACACACACACACACACACACACACACACACACAACCTGGGTTTTATAATAAGTATAACTCGATATGAGTTGTCCCCCTTTTACTCTCGCGACAGCGATGCCTCTGAATCGTGTTTTGAAATTGATTTCATGTAAACACACACACACACACACACACACACACACACACAACCTGGGTTTTATAATAAGTATGATGAACGGTTTAACAATATACCCCAATTGGTCTTTATTGACAGAAAAAAAATCGCAATGTAGATATCGCTTTTACTTGCAAAAAACTATCCAAGTTGCCAAAATTTATGGATTCACGTCTGACATCAGGCAGTAATTTTACTTTTACTTCTTTAAGGATTTTTTTTAAAATTTGAAGTAGATCTGAGAGTGTAAATTATACAAAAAACTATTATAATCAGCTGACAGCAAACTAAATCTCTTCGAAAAGAATTGATTTGTGTGTTCTTATCTTTGCAGGCATATGCAGACCAAAATGCGAATAATAAATTAAAAACACCAATATCAGACATGCACAAAAATTTAAATATATAGGAAGTGTTTTAACTAAGGCCGTAAAATACGATACTAAAATCCGAAGGCGTATTGGGATAGCAAAGGATGCCTTCAAAAAGCTGAGCTATATTATTAGCCTCGATCTTGCTCCTCAGCTACAATCACTTCTTCACCGCAGTAAGGTTGTCTCCCTTTTCCTTCTCCATAAATGCTTGCACTGTAATTGTCAGGGTTGTCTCTTTACACTGGCGCCTCGTCTCTTTGAATTCAAGCGCTGTACTAGACTGAAGATAATGTCTCATAGTTTACTATTGAACTGGTTAGATGTAATCGTAAATTCTATGCTAACACTTTCTTTTCTTACAGTTCTTGCTTGTGGAACTCTCTTACATCTCCATATTTTCCAGCCAAATTTAATCTGCAAAAATTTAAAAGCAACGCCGATCGCTATTTGCTGCCCTCCTGATTACTCTTTCACTGTTCTCGCTCCTTAGCTATGTTCCCGATTTGAACTCTTTTACGCCCTGTAACTCTTTGTGTCTCTGTAGCTATACTGTGTTGTTTGCAGTAATAAAGACAAGATATCCGGAACAACTTTAGAACTGATTGAAATAACATAGAAATATAGAGTAAATGTTAGGAAGTTTACAGCATTATAATATAATAACTGGCATTACCTTTATCAACTAAAACCTGTTCTTCATGCTTATCATGATGATTTTAATGGACTCAAATGAAAGGTTATTCCAAGCAGGCCCTTCGCTCAAACTCCACATTAAGCAAATAAGCATTACAATTATTATATATGAAGTCTTTGTAAAATTATCATATTGGAAAAAGAAGATGCAATTCTCTGGAAAAATACAACCGAGACCAGACACAGTTCTTTAAGCAGACAGATTAAATTAGCTGCAACATATTTTTATTTTATGCCATGTCCTTTCAAGAAGTAGTTATGGATCTCCAAAGCTTCCTTCTCTCATATCAATGAATTGCTTTGATACATTGGAATATATTGCTGTGTGGTTTTCCATGATTTCACCTAGTTTGGTATAAACCAAACGTATGCTGCCTCAGTTGGTGTATCAGGTTAGCTATAATCAAGTAGTTTATGTTGGTAGAAAGACACAGGTATGGGTCACCAATTGGGGGTTTGAAATATCGGTTCACGTACGCTCACCGATGTTAAGCAACCTTGAGCCTGGTCAGTATCCAGATGGGTGACCGTTTGGGTTTACTAGGTGTTGTAAGCTTGGATGTGCGGGTGGTGTAATGGATAAGGACTCGTATTTTTAAATCAGAGAGTAGACAACTAATTGCAATCGGGTTCGTTATATTTTCCTACACGAAAATACCCTTGAAGAATATTCACCTTTTATCTCTCCTGCTATGGGTTAATTATTAGAGCTCGTATCAGTAAATCATTATTTTTTCCCAAAGCAATTGTTACAATTTAAAATCTTTTCCGGTTTTATATAACTTGGAAAGGATTGATAAGCCGTAAAAAATAAATCAATTAATCAACCACTAAGTGAGGATTGAACTCACTATTTTTTTAATTAATAATCAAACGGACTCTGAATTTTTATGTTTAAGTTAGTTTGGCACAAGGTCACAAGTATGCAGTACACGGACTTGCTCGAACTTACTACTTCGTTGTGATGGCGAAATATAGAATCGTGTGTAACATTCCCCCACACCGAAGTGGCCATAGAATTTAATGCTCTACGCATTCCACTAAACACGATTATATCAAATATTAGAACGTGGAAGAAACACTGACAAATTAAAAGGGATAAATTACATCTCAGGGCTCCATAATCGTGATCTTGTGTCAGGTTATTTAATGCTAAATAAATAACTTTAGCCAAAGCCTCATTACTTGTCTGCTAATAAATTAAGTGTTCCTATTGTTTAAATGCACACTATATCTATACCAATTGAACCGCTGACCTTCTAATTTCTAGTCCAATAATCTATTCCATAGCGAACAGATAAAACAACCAATGACAATATCACTGTATCGATTCGTGAGAATTCCTCCCGCGACAGATTAGCCCATATTAGGAGAGAGTGTAATAGCGTTGTGTTCAACACAAAAGGCCCGTATAGAACATGAGAACTCACTCGGTAGGATTCTCTTTCTCTATCTCTCTTTCCCTGTTTCTCTCACTGAATGTAGCCGTCAATAGACATTGTAAATGGATATATGATACGAGGAAGGCAAGGTCTTATCATGTTTCTGGAGACGGCCCACCTGTGACTTGGCGCTGGGAATTCGCCTGGGAATTAACCGGCAGTACCGTGCAACTCGAAGACAATGGATACAATGGAGGGATAAACGGAACTTCTCTACGGCAGAGTTGCTTCTTTTTCAATGGAGATAAGATCGGTGTGAAGGACAAAGAAGGAAGCGTGGGGGTTACGCTGGGGAAGATTTGTAATTAGTAAAGGGGAAAGAAGAAAGGAACGAGAAACGAAGGAGAAATATGGATTGAAAGAATTATGAATAAAGTAATGTTAGAGGGGGAAAAAGAAAAGAAAAAGAAAGAAAAAAGGGGAATAAGCATACGATGAAAAAAATAAATAAGGTAAAAAAGGGGGAAATATTGAAATGTGAAAAAAAAGGACGAAAAGGAAAGAACGAAGAAGATAGAAAAAAAAAGAATGAAAGCCGGAATAATGTCAAATAATAAAGAGAGAAAGGATGGGAATAATAAAATGAAGGAAAAAGATGCAAAGTCGAATAATTTTAATAGATCCGAAGGAAAATAGGAAGGAAAAGAAAAGAAAGATGTAAGTAATGAGAGGAAATAATGCTTATAAGGAAGAACATGATAGAAAAAAGAAGAAGGAACTTAAAATGAAGGAAGTTAGGGGAAATAAATATCAATGAAGGAAATGACTAGAAGGAAAACAATAAAGAATGAAAATGAGAGTAAAGAAAAACGGAAGAAGAGAGCAAGAAGAAAGGGAAATGAAAAGGAAAAAATATAAGGAAAAAATGATAAATGGAAGATTTCGAAAGAAAAAAAGTTAAAAAAAAATGTGAATGACAGAATTGGAAGAAAACGTGGGAGAATGAAACAGAATGAAAAACAGAATATTATAAGAAAGTTAATATAAAAAAAGCAAGAAAAAATGAAGGGAGTTAGGTAGAAGAAACAAAATGAAAGATTATAAGAGAGAAAAAAAAAAGAATATGTAAATGAGAGAAAATGAAGGAGGCGAAGAATAGAACAAGAGAATGAAGAACAGAATATTATAAGAAAGTTAATATAAAAAAAATAAGAGAAAATGAATGGAGTTAGGTAGAAGAAAGAGAATAAAAGATTATAAGAAAGAAAAAAGAAAAAGTAAATGAAAGGAAATGATAAAAGTGACGAAGCAAAATACAATAAAAAACAGATCATTTTAAGACGGTTAGCTTTAGAAATCAATAAAAGAAAATGAAGTAATTTAGGTAGAAACAACAGAATGAAAGATTTTCAGAAAGAAATAGATGAAAAAGACAGAAAAATGAAAACAGAATGAAGTATAGGAGTATGCAAACGAAAAAACGTAAAGATGGGAGAATGAAATTAGACATGATATAAAGAATGTAAAGATGAAGAATGCAGATTGAAAATGAACAAAAAGAATAAAAACAAAAAAAAAAGATGGCGTGAAGAAAATAATTTGCAAGATAACAATGATGGAAGTAATATGAAGGAAAAAAGATGTCCTTCTATACTATCCTTTTTTGGCATGCCAGAGTATAGACTCCAATATTAACACTATTCAAATATACCTTTTATAATTCAAGACGAGGTCACATTAGAATGGCAAAATATTTTTTCCAATAGCTAAAAAGAAAAAAAAGAAACATAAAATTAAGAAAGGAAAATTTCCTTAGAAACAATGAAAAGTGTTTTAAAATGCTGTATCGTATAATTTGTACTATATGTCAGAAAATGCCGGACAGTTTTCGCACATATGAAAACATTTAAGGAAATAAATATGTGATTCTACAGAAGGAGGCTGAGAATGCCAAGAACGGAGCATGTAAGTAAAATTAATCTTTAATAAAAACTTAAACAAAAAACAACTGTCCAATATTTGAACGGTAAAAATATTTATGACACTCAATGAGATAAGTTATCTAAGTGAATTTGAAACTCACAAGGCATATTGATGTCAAGAATTGCAGAGGAAAGCCATTAGTAACCTATAAAATGACCGTTTGTAAATTGATGACAGAACAGAGAGCGAGAGGGAAGATAAAAAGACAAATACCACGAACTACACAGGGTAGGACATTGTGGAGAGCCATAATCCCAGACGTTTTGAAGGGATAAGATATATAGAAGAAGGTTGAAATATCGGTGACATGTATTGATATTAAATGTGTTTAGTAATTCTCATAGAAAATTCGCGTAGGAAGACTCTTTTACCATGAAAAGAGACTCGGGTTTCGAATAATGACAGAGTTTACATAACCTCCCGGAGCGCGCCCATGGAATTGACCAAATCAAATTTAATTTAAAATTAAGCGTTAAGACGCTTAACTAGAATAACAATTGCTTTCGCTATTGTATATTTTTGTGAAATGAAAATAATATAAAATAAAATGAAATAGGGTTGTCTGGGCCGTGGTTGGCAACCTGACCAAGAGAAGGAAAACTCTGAATTCAAATTCGGCACAGGAAACCAGAAGACTGTTCGATGTTATGTTTAATTTCGTTCTGGCTACTCCTGCGTCGAGATTGGGCCAAGATGTATTGGCATCTGCCTTTCCTTGGCGTGGAGAGGAGAGGTGTGCAGCATAGGCAACTGTCGATCTCTCATTAAAATAATCATGCCGAGTCCTGCCCCCTGGAGAGGACACTACTACTACTACTACTACTACTACTACTAATAATAATAATATAGAACATCAACAAACATTGTTGTAGTTGAAGCCCTCGGATTGATTGGACAAGATTCCAATAGACTCATTGAAGGGATTTCTGGTATCCCATTCTTTAAAGAAATGCAAAAGATTGTACTCACAAGTACAGGCCACAGCTTAGGAACGGTTTTATTTATGTAAAATATATACTTTTAATTTCTCAGTTGAAAATGACATGATTCCCTTTCTGACCTTAGGTCTCTGGGCGGGATCCGGAAAGAAATGTGTACACACCTGAAATCGAAGGAAATAAAACAACAACAACAGCAACAACAACAACAACAACAATAATGATAATAATAATAATAACAATAAATGTATATTTTTTGTGAAATAAGTTTCTTTTTCTGATGTGGTTGCTCACTAGGGGAAACATAAAAATTGTTAAAATTTGCTTTGTCAATTTGCTAATCTGTCATTAGTATAATAACTCTTACTCTTTCTCCCTATTTCTCTATCTCACATACAAACACACATTAGTTATTTTTATGTGGATTATCATAGGACGTTAATCCTTATTATATTCTTTTTCATTACATATTTACCGAATACAAAGGCAGATCGCACTCAATTTTGAACTTTAATGAACGAGATTAATGCACGTAAAAGTTAAAAATGGCAGTTTAATCATAACGACGTATTTCTCTTTGACAGCGATCTCCCATACATGTGCGTCCGGATGACAATTGCCCATTACTAGCAGCCATATCCAGCTGGTCGATCAGAGAAAGCGTTCAATTAGAATGGAGAAAAAAAACAGCATAATGTTTAAATGTAACACAGTGTCTTCTTCATTTACTTTAAAGTTATTTCATTAAAAATATTTTAGATTAATACAGTTACTGATATAACAGAAGTCGAACTTAGCCGAGGACATTGAAGGGGTAAAGCAGGCAACATGAAGATCCACTTCAGACCACAATTATTTTGGAGATTTTAAAATTCAATTTGTCAGTGTGCTGCCAGGGATGTAAAAGCAAATATATGTATAAAGCAATTGTTTAGTTTGATGAAAATTGGTTGAAAGATCAACGAAAATTAAGAAATAAACCAGAAAAATCACCATTTTTCGCTATTTACGCAGGTTTTCACTATATGGGTGGACTCAATTATTAACATAAATGACTGTTAAACAATCGACTTATTGTTGGCTACAATTGAGTGTAGTGTGTATTAGATTGCTTGAACACTGAGGGACGTTTTAGTTTAAAATTTGTGTCGAAATCGATTTTTCGTTTTCCGCAGTTTTCCGCTGAACGCAGTAATGTAGAAAGAAAAACGAAGTATCGTTCAGCTCATCATGATGTAAGTAACCTACATACCGACTTTAAACTAAATTGCATGAAAAAGTTGAATTTTGATAGGCTTTATCGATTATTGATTTTAAAAATCATCGATTTTTTACGCTAAGAACCTATCTCTACTTTGTACAATGTATTAGCCAAGTTTCGTCAAAATCAGTTGAATGAATCCCTATTAAAAGCTGCCACATAGACAGACATACACACAGACACACATACATCCTTTGTGTACCACATTTATTTTCACTCAGGACAATGAGACACTAATTTTCGATCGAATATCTACGAAGAGTGATAATATGCTCACTGAATATCCCTCAGCTAGCTTTCATATCTATGGCGACTTCAATATTCACCGCAATGAGTGAATAAGACAGATATTACTCACCTATGAACTACCTTAGATCAGCGAAGAACCCAGCCGCGTCTCTGACGAGACTGGACATCAGGCGAACTTCGTCGACAGATGCATAGCAAACGCTTTACACATCCACTTCTGGGCAGGCCAGACCATTCCATATTTAGTGACAAAATTGATGCTAAACCAAAGGAATACCCTGATTTGCCGTTCCATAGGACTATTTTTCGCTACAGGTATGCAGACTGGGACGGCTTCAGATCTATGGCTGAAGCTCCTCTTTCAAAATTCTTCAAGCATGTCTCCAAAACTGCTGTCCACAATTCAGATGGAATCCTTTCTGGAATGAAGACTAAGAAATTACAGTAAAAAAAAAAAAAATCAAACAGTCAACTTCACTGAGAATTGCCTGAAATCGTTACAAGAAAGTTCTGGAAAATCCAAAATGTAGCTATGCACATCCGATCCAGACCAAGTTTGAAAACGAACAAATTGGATCCCGAGGTTTCTGAAACATCCAAAACCAAATTATGAATGAAGGCAAAGCGGATGTACCCACTATTATAAATGGCCTCAAGGACATATCTTTCTCAAAAGATAAGGCGAAACTTTTTAGCTTACTCATTACCTACAATATTGATGATACAATGGTGTATGTGGACGTACCTCCAAAATTTGTGATGACAGCTGATCTCTCATCCGATTTACCTCTCTCATCACAGTGGGAGAAAAACTGGCTGATTGCATTCAATGCCTCGGAGACAAAGTTAGTTACATTCTATCATCGGCCAACTACGACGTTAGATGAATGTTCCCTCAAGAAGTCCCCGTACTTTGAGCGACTATTGTGTCTCAAACTTAACCCGGATCTCAAGTGGAACTCCTACCTACAATCCATCACTTAAGACGAAGGAAAATGATCGGGTCCTTGCACCTCTCCTGCAAGCGACTGACTTCTCTTCTATCCTTTACTTTTACAAGAGCCAAATCAGGTATAAAATGGAGTACAGTCTTGATCGAGTCCTAGTCTCGCGTCTTTTTGGCTGATGAATTATTTCCCATTCTTCTATTCCTGTCTGACAGACGAGATGTAACAATCCTCTCACTACTTTATCGATACTCCCACGAAAAGTGCTCAGGTTAAATACACCCCTTAGTTCCACTTATTCTAACGTCCTTTATTACGACCCGCCACTCGATGCACATTATAGCGAATCACCCTCATCCCATTCATATTCTATTTGTGGGACCAAACTTCCACTCGAGCAGCTTCTTTTCAAGAAGCACTGCTACGTGGAACCGACTTCCAAGAGGAGGTTTTCCCAATTTCTACAATGCTAATCTGTTCAAGTCTAGGGATAACCGTTATCTTCCCCACCTATACGCATAAAGTGTGTCCCTTACTCTGTAACCCTCTACCTCTAGTGGCTTCATATGTATATATATATATATATATATATATATATATATATATATATGGTTAAATACAGAGATAGATATATAAGCAGTGTGGGTATAGAACTAAATACATTCGTGCGCGCTTGAAACTTAAAACTGATAGAAAACAGCGTGTTTTTTTTCTATGTGCATATATTTATATCTTCAAGAATTTTTTTAAAAAAGTATTTCACCCCAAGCAATGAGGAAATGCCACTAGTATGCAAGGGGTTGCAAAAAATGAAAGTAATAGAAAAGACTAGGGTATGGGGGATAGAGGAAAGGATAAAAATAGAAACAGCGATCAAAGCATGAGAAGATGCCAACTGATATTACATTTAAGTTTATGAAGATTATAGTTATCAGGGAAGCAAGTAAGAGGAAGGG